AGTGAAAACAGGGGTTATATCATGGGGGAGGGACATAGAAAGCAACAAAGAAATCATCTTATAAATGTGTTAGAAACAATTGCAAGAAAGAAAAAAACATTTGAATCCTTATCTTGGGGTTCATTTCACCTAACATCAACTTATCTGACCTTTTCTGCTTGTCTCAGACGTATACTAGTAATTGCAAATAAGGGAAACCATGGGACCTATGTTTCCTTGGGCCTGGCTTACTTCACTTAATATAATTTTTTCAAGTCTTTCCATTTCGTAACAGATGCGGCAATGTCATTCTTTCTGATGGAGGCATAGAATTCCATCGTGTATATATACCACATTTTCTTGATCCATTCCTCTACTGAGGGGCATCTGGGTTGGTTCCATATTTTAGCTATGGTAAATAATGCTGTAACATAGTTGTGCTGGTAGCTTTAGTATGGCTGTCCCCCCCTTTTTTTAACCCTGCTGTATATCACCGCTAAAACAACAATAAAGTAAGAATTTCCTTCTTCTACTTCGCACCCTCCCTCCACTTATTTTCTCAATTTGTGATGCCCTCATCTCTGAAGCCACTTACCCAGCCTTCCGAAGCACCTTGCCCAGTTCCCAGAGCTGTGGCTCCAATGCTACCTTCAGCCGACCTACCACAACCACAGGCAAGCTCCCTACAAACTCACATTCAGTGGCTGGAATGCCCAGAGCTCTAGAAGACAAAGAATGGAGACAGGGGAAGGGAGCAGAAGACGCTTCTGAGTATGCATCAGAGGCTCAGGCCTCTGCCTAGGACAGCTCAGGCACCTTTACCTTTCCTCCTTTTCAGTGGTTCCCTCCCCCGCCCCCTCCTTCTCCTGCCTTATCTTTGCTCTCTGGCCTTTTGTCTGCTCCAGGAAATGCTCTGTGGTGCACTCACTGTGCCATGACCCTCTGGACATTGTTGGCATACAGGGTGGGGTCTCTGCTCTCTTCGGGGCTGGGCTGGTACACGGGGAGGAACTGAAATAGAACCTGGAAGATGAGTGCCCACCCCCGCGTTCCCCGAAGCTCTGGGGACCTGTGACGCACTTCTCCCACCTCACAACCACGGCCATACCTCCACATCCACGAAGCTGCAGGGCTGGGCTGCTGTGAGCCAGAGGACTTTGAGTCTAAGAGGAGACAGACCACCATGTTCACCAGCCACTAAGCGGGGGACAGACTGTCATGTGCACCCATCTCTAAGCATGGGCTCTTCCTGTTCTAAGAGACAGCAGAAGTTCTGCCCATGATTCAAACATGGACCCTAGCCACATTCCTGGCCATGTTGAGTGCATACACACTTGGGAGACTATGAGAAAGACCAGAAGTGTGGAAAGAGGGAAGTGTAGCAGGGGTACAGCAGAGGGAGGCAAAGAGTCAAGGCTTGCCAAGGCTGGTGGCTTTCCCAAAGGGGCAGCCGAGGGTACGCCACACAGGGAACGTGGAGAAGCCATGGCTGCAGTAGGAACGGCGGGTGGAGAGCCAGGCTGTGCTAGATCACTGGGAAGTGGGTTTCTCCACCAGAGGCCCTGAGAAAGACCATGTATCCCTTCTGCATATCAGAATTTGGGCGAGGAGTTCGCTGATGGACCTCGCTGCCCAACCTCACTCAGGACCCAGAACTCACACTCCGGGGCCTCTCCATGCCCAGCTGGTAGTGTCCTAGGGGAAAAGCAGAGGGAGGGGTGGGGGGCACAGTTCATTATCCATCTACACCCCCCTACCCCCTACACCTCCCCTCAGGGACAGGTCATTAGCCATCTACCCCCCCCTCACAAGGACAGGTCATTACCCATCTACCCCCCCCACAGGGACAGGTCATTACCCATCTACCCCCCCTCACAGGGACAGGTCATTACCCATCTACCCCCCCCCTCACAGGGACAGGTCATTACCATTTACCCCCCTCACAGGGACAGGTCATTACCTTTTACCCCCCCTCACAGGGACAGGGCATTACCATCTACCCCCCCTCACAGGGACAGGTCATTACCATTTACCCCCCTCACAGGGACAGGTCATTACCCATCTACCCCCCCTCACAGGGACAGGGCATTACCATCTACCCCCTGCCCAGGGAGGCCCAAAGGCTCCCACTTATTCCCACTGGTGTGGGCACATACTCCTCCCTTTCTTGGACTAAGACTTACCACACTGTTGGGGTAACGGATGAGGACAGGCTGCACAGGCACCCCTGCGATGAAGGCCCCTGTCCCACCCCACCCCAGACAGCGGTGAGTGCACAGCAGGAGAGAGGGGGCAGCTCACAACAGGATTCTGGCTGCATGCCACTCATTTGTAGTTTTTTTTCCTTTTTCTTTTTCTGCTGGTCCTGGGGCTTGAACTCAGGGCCTGGGCGTTGTCCCTGAGCCCCTTTTACTCAGGTTAGTGGTCTCCTACTTGAGCCACAGCGCCACTTCCAGCTTTTTCCGTGGTTAATTGGACTTTCCTGTTTGGGCTGGGTCTGAACTGCGATCCTAAGGTGGCAGCTTCCTCAGTAGCTAGGATTGCAGGTATGAGCCACCAGTCCCCAACTCCCATTTGTAGTTTTCTGACTCCTCAATTGCCAACACTAGGCAGGGGTTCTCTGTCCCTCCTTCTCCCTGGGACCCTATTATCCGTTATTCCTCCCTGAGCCCAGACTCCCTTCCCACAGCCTTCCCTCCCACCAGCCTTTCCAGTACCTGGTTTGAACTTAAGCAAAGCCTTCTTGTTGGAACAAGTGCCTTCAGGAAAGAACAGAACCTGGGAAGAAAACCCGAGAGAAGGATGAGGGGAGCAGGGGAGCCCTGCTGTGCGCAGGGGGAGGGGGCAGGGAGCCCCGCTGTGCGCAGGGGGAGGGGGCAGGGGAGCCCCGCTGTGCGCAGGGGGAGGGGGTAGGGAGCCCCGCTGTGCGCAGGGGGAGGGGGTTCT